TACTCTTAATAATTCATCCATTTAAAGCCTTGAACCATCAACATAAATGTGCATGCCCAATGAAGTTTTAGAAGGATGCCCTGGAAGTCTCTGGGCAGGTGGCAAGTAGTCTTTTTTAAACTGCCCCTCCAAAGGCGTTTTAAAGGATAAACTATCCTGACAGAACCATATTTGTGTCTGTACAAACAGCCCTGCCAGAGGAATTTTACCTGCACATGATCAGCCTGTTCCTGCAATGACTTTATTCCTTCAGTTAAGGGACACGTGGACACAGCTTTTATCTTCTTTTCTCCTCTTCTCCCCACCTCAGCCCAGAAGCTGGAGTTTCCCAACGTTTATCTGGGTTTGCTGATCCAAAGTAAAATCAGTGTTCCTGACAAATCTACCCCGAGTATCCCCTAGGATGAGTTCCTGGAAGCTGAAACCCTWCATGGCTTTCTAACCAAYGCTGAAAACCCYGGCAGGTTTGAGTGCAGCTGCCAGTGTGTGCTGCTACTCCCGTGGCTGTAATTCAGCAAAAGTGTTCAAAGAACTGGAAAAGGAGTGTGGTTTGATCAGGAGGAATTCTGGTATTGTCCCTGTCCTTCAAACAGACTCTGCCTTGCCTATGGTTGTGATAAATCAAAATTCAGTTACACCAACATTAATATTTTGCTTCAAATGYGCCTCAAATGTGGAGGGATTCTTTGATTTCTTGAAAAAGTAATGCTGGGAAGAGTTGCAGACTTGAAGAACATGAATCCTGGAGCAGAAACTCACTGATCTCTGTGTTTTTCCCTCAGAAATGCTGTGAAACAGGCAGAGTGTGTGGATGGTGCAGTGACACATTCTGTCTCCCCATAAATTGTCTTTCTTCTCTTCAAATTGTCTTTCTTTTTTCAAATTGTCTTTCTTCTCTTCAAATTGTCTTTCTTTTTTCAAATTGTCTTTCTTTCTTCAAATTGTCTTTCTTCTCTCGGATATGAGCTAAGGGCAGTGCCTTGGTACCACACTCTGTTGGGAAGGAGCTGATACACTGGGTCAGTCCTCCCACACTGCTCCATCCTAAACGCGTTTGAGGGTCTGGATCCTGGGTCAGAATGGGTCCTTTGGGTGAAAAGCAGCGAGGGAGGAGAGGGTCAAACTGAACCTCCTCTCCCAGCACAGCTCTCGCTTGCACAGCTGGTACATTATTGCATTTTTAATGCAATTTATTGTGTTTGGAAAGCCGGGGGAGGAAATGTTCCTTTCCCCTGAACTGAGAAGAAAGGCTGAAGGATGCTGGGTCTGTACACAAGGTCACATCAGATGCTATCAATTAACAAAATGATTGCTTTTGGGTCTGTCAGCGAATCAGAGTACATTCAGTGCTGGAGTTATGTGAAGTTTATACATTTCCAATTTAATGTGTTTCAGTATTTGAAAACAAAGTACAGTTGCCTCTTTTCTAGCAGACTGGTGTGTCCTTGCTTACTGTGGTCCGCTCCTCCGAGTCTGGCTACTGAATTACTTGATAAATCTGGCTGCTAATGAAACCCGAATTAAATTAATGGGAACATGTGTGCCAGCAAGAAGTTTGGACTGTAAATTCCCTATTTTGTCAATGAGTTTATCTTTCCATTAATCATTATTTGTTCACCAGAAAACAAAATTCCTTTGCATTCAAATGTCTCTGCCTGAGAGCTTCATCTGACAGCTGACAAGGGCTGTGCTCCGGTCCTGTGGGGACCATGAGGGAGTTTTAACAAGTTCTGGGTACATAAAGGGACATCTTTTTAAAAAGATTTCTAGCTTTGAATAACTTATTTTAAACATCCTTCTGCCTTCCTGGAAGAGTTCCTCTAAGTTTAGTTCCCTTTTTTTCAGCTGTTACCAGTGGAAAGAGTTGTTAAAAGTGCAAGAGCAGCTTTTTTACGATGTGAGAAAGAGGAAAAGGGAGGCTCTGAGCTGTGGAGAGTTTTGTCTCAGCAGAAATGTTCCTCGCTGACGGGGTGAGCTCTGATCAGCTGGAGGGAGGGAGAGCATCCTTTCTGCTGAGAGCTGCCTGGGCTGCAGGAAACGCTGAGGAACGAGATCCTTGCAGCACCACAGGCCTGGCTACTCAAGAGGAGTGCACTCTGAGCTGGGGATGGAGAGCCTGAGCCCGAATTTGGGCTCTGATTCCCGCTGGAAAGGGCCTGTGGATGCTCCATCCCCTGCTGCAGCCACTCCACATGGCCCAGGAAGGAGTCTGCATCCACCAAAGAAACACGAGCTTCGTTGGGGAGCACTTTGAATTTTTAATTTTTTTTTTAAACAGACTTGTAAAACGAAATGGCTCTTACTGAATTAAGTTCATTTGTAAGGAAAAGCATATTAATTATTCACCTCGGGTGGTTTGGTTCTAGAAATTGGTTTTCTGGCGAGGTGGTAGGACCGGCCCTGGTCTCGCTGAAATCAGTGGTTTGGCACATGGTCTCTGGGACAACTTAATGCCCTTTTTATTATTAATAAAAACACACTGATTCGCA